TAACATGTGTTTTGAATATTACTGTACTGTAGGGAATAGAAAGATAAAATAATCTGGAGGAACAAAAGATTCAAAAGAGCTTTGGCCACAGATATGCAGTGTCCTGTTAAAATATTAAGCATAATACTTTCACAACGGATAAAAAAAAACCAATCAAACTCAATCATATTTCACTATATAGATTTTTTGCAGTGCATTTGAATTGATTTGTTTCCATTGTTTTGAATGGAAGTTCCCCAAACCAGAAGTGCAACCCATAATTTAAATGCATATGTTTAATAAGGGAATGTGTTAAGTTATTAAGATGCAAATGGTCAAATAAGGTTAATAAACAAAATGTAGCCATGTAAAGTGTGAAATGCATGTGTTTAGTTAAATTGTTAATATTTATTTTATTCTATAAATGTCTTATAACATTTCTCAGAAGCGTTTAATGAAAAAACTGACGATGTGTCAGCGCCAAAAGCCTAGTGATTTGTGTGCCAATATATAGCACCGAATAAACAAAGTACCTTGCTACCTCGCAATCCACAATTACAACAGCATGTCCTTGACCTCAGCTGGAGAAGCACTGAAGTGAAGTCTTTATTTTAATTTCTGATCCACTCTAGATCAGACCGTTTTCTTCACCGACTGAGCCGGGATCATCATCATTAGCAATCGGCTTCATCTCTGGCTCTGTAATTAGCTGATTAATAAAAATTAACCTTCAAAGTTCATTAATATCAGACAATAATTAATCTTGATGTCCTGATTTAAAAATGCCCCAACTCTTTTTTCATTTGCCTGAATTGGCAGTGGTAAATGTTCATAAAGATAACTGGCTCTCGAGACTGCACATGCTGTAGATAATCACGCTGCCCCTCATGAGCTGCCTCTGTTGGAATGTGTTATGCATCCTCAAGAGAAAAAGAGTTTTAAAGGGGTAGTTCACCCATTGCCGTTTACTCACATTCAAGTCACAAAAAAACAAAGCTGCTTTTGCCTTATGTTAGACTAGAGTATACTTCATCTGTCTGTATTCTGTAAAATTCTATCTGTAATTTCCATCATTAGGAATGTCTATCATTAGCGCTAAGAACCATAAAAAAAAGGTGTTTGTACAGTGATGTTACACTTCTGGTCCCTCAAAGAACCTTTAAGTCAGAAGATCTTCATAGAAGACTATAAGGAATCATTTTAAAGATCCAATTTTTGGAATGAAAATGTTCCAAATAATATTACAGGTTCTTCTTGAAACCTGTAATGTCAGTAAAGAACTTTTTATTTAAAGGCCTTTTAAGAATGAAGAGCACAGGCATGAGTTGAATGCTGAGACAGAACAAGTCCACTAGGTGGTACTGCATGGAGCTCATCTATCCATGCTTATCCTTGGTTAGGTTAGCTATTTAAGCATGGCTCTGAACGCACAAGATATGCTATAGATATAGAAGATATGTAAGAGGTGTTTACATTACAATATTGCCAATTATTTTACATTTTATAGGTGTTTCAAAGTTCATGTTATGTGCATGTTAGATCAGGGGTTCCCAAACTTTTCAGCTCATGACCCCAAAATAATAATGCCAGTGACTTGCGACCCCCAATATCCTCTGGGGTGGTTATAAAGAAACTTTGCATGCAACGGCACACACACCAATAGGCCCAAGACTATTTTTCATTTCATTTTTAAAAAACGTATGTGAGTGCTGTAAAGGTGTCAGAAAGTTTAACCTGATTCCATAAAGTTAATCTGCTGCATCAGTACCTTTAATATAATGTAATCACCCCAAGGGTCCCAATCCAATAGAAAAAAAAAGCAGAAGGCTGTAACTAAACTACTATTTTTATCTTCAGTAGGTTATGGATAAAGTATGGTAATTCTATTTGTTTATTTAAAAAAAAAATTATCACATTTTTGGAAATCACCAAGCAACCCCCCTTTGGGAACCAATGTGGTAGATGATATTAGCTGCCTTCATTTTCTTGTAATTAGAAGATTCTGAAAGTAAAAAGTGATCCCGGCCTCCTACAACACACAATCATAATTTGTAAACTCTAAAATTTCTGAAAGCTGTGATTTCACCAAATGACCATTGTATCACCTGGCCAACGTAAATTTAGATGTTGACCATGTTGCCACAGAAATACAGAATTTCTGTCTGAAAATGTGAACAGCTTTGAGTAGAGTATCATCCGTTGTGTTGGAATTGTGGTGATTAAATGATTGGAGCTATTGTTAATATCTGTCTAAAATGATTTTATGAAAACTGCAACTTCATGCATATTGCACGTTTGGTGTGCCAATACTTGACAACAATGGCACACTATGGGGCAGTACGTGTGCAGGACTATCTTTCTTTACAAACTACTGGTCTGGCATGCAAAATATAGAGTGTTTTTAGAGGTGCCACAAACTGCATTGATCCAATATGCTAAACTGTTCTTTAATATCTGCATAGAAGTTATGTGGCTCAAGTACGAATATTCTCCAGTTTTTTTATGCTCATTTATGCAACAGTTCTTTCTTGTTCTTGAATCTGATTGGTTGAATGCCGTGTGATATTCTGCCAGTAAAAGCACTTGTACCACCCCTTCACCCTTCACCCTTGTATTACTCTGCCCACATACAGCAACAAGCAGAGACACTCTACAGTTTGACAAATATTGCTTCTGTTGTGCAACATAATTTACTTTTGAGGCTTTTTTAGTCGAGAATGTAGTGGTTTAGATTGCAACTATGAAGTTTATTTATAAGGATAGTGCATATTTTAAAATATTAATAATTTCTGAGAGACAGCGTGTCGGCGGCCTTTAGCCTGTCATACTAAGCAAAGACAGTTGAGGTTGTCCATCCACAATGGTGACAGACTGCATAATAAGCCCTTAGAGATGGAACAATACAGCTAAACTTTTCTTAAACTACAGCTGATCAAATCATTATTAAACAGGTAAATGACTTTCTAAGTTTAACTCTCTCTCTTTTTTATGTCCAATAGCTCTACCAACCCGTATGGGGAGACTCATCAAATGCTTATAATAAATGTTTGCAAAGCCATGTAATACTTTCGAAAATCATGATCGCTATATATATCCATATCTGATGACTGGATAATAATTATTTTTTTATAAATTGTTAACATTTTGGTATCTGTGATGCAGCAATTCCAGAGAATGATGTGTACACTATGATTTTTAAATTCACTTTAATGTGTGATATATCTAAAAAATGGCCATAAACAACTATTTTCTCAATTAAAATGAGTAGCAGCTTGGACCCGTCGCCTCACAGCAAGAAGGTCGCTGGTTCAAGTCCCGGCTGGGCCAATTGGCTATTCTATGTGTGGAGTTTGCATGTTCTCCCCGCGTTCATTTGGATTTCTTCCAGGTGCTCCGATTTCCCCTACAGTCCAAAGACCGGCACAATAGGTGAATTAAATAAACTGTCCATAGTGTATGTGTGTGCATGTGAAAGTGTATGGGTGTGGCGACCCCTGATGAATAAAGGGACTAAGCTGAAGGACAATGAATGAATGAATTTTCATTCTATGGCACCTTTAATATTAATATTAATATTAATACCTTTAGTATTAATTGTGGCTAACTATTTCTTTAAGAGCTTAATAGGCTTTATATTTTATGCCTATTAGTGGTTCTGAAATAATAACATACATTATAAGTCTTTCTCACTCAGAATAACAAAATTAACTCTCTCAGTTCTTAACTTTAAAAAAGTGAATCAATCAAAACAACAATCTAGAGCAAATGACTGTTTTTATTATTATTTTTGCTCAAGAAGATTCACTGCAAAGTATTTGTTTTCAAATGGTCTAATAAAACCAATTGGGTGCTTGAGGATATGAAGCAGAACAGCTTTCCTCCCTGGAGATACTCTGATTGGCTGATATATTATTTCCTTCATGATCTCCTTTGTGCAAAGGTTGCTTTTGCATGTCAATACGGTCTATTTAAAGCTACACTACATATTCACAAATATGCTTATACTCGGGTGCGCTGCAGATTCCTAATGTCATCTGACAGTTTAACTCACTACAAGGATTCTTAAGGGTAGAGTCAACCCAAACTACACATCACTGACCCAAAGTCTTTATGCTGGAATCTCAGGACCTGACAGATGTATTATGTCGTGGTGTGTGTCTTCATCACAACATTCCCTTCTCTATTCACAAAACAGTCACAGACAAGTGTCTCAGCAGCTAATTCAAAACTCATTAGAAACATGCAATTGCAGAGCAGACTCCCAAAGGGATCCAGCTTTCTAATCAACGTTCCCCACTGCAAAGCCCATCCAACGGGGCGGCTCATAACTAACGTTTCCACAGAGAAATTAAACCGAGGTGTCATTATGAAGGAAGACGCTCCTCTGATGATTTCATTACAACAGTGCCATATGTTTGATGCTATATTGTAGATTTTTCAAATGTTACATGAGCATTTTCTCTTCTTGGTTGTTTTATTTCTTTGATTTGAAAGAAACGTATGAATTATGGAGTGAATGCTCCCACTCTCAGCCAAAATGAGACGTTTTGGGAATTTTAAAAAATAAAATGAGGTTTAAATGTTGTTTACATACACTCATTTAACCTTTCATTCTGAGGAAATTTTACTATTTAAATATTTAATATGTCCAGATCCTAAACTTAAAAGTCAGATTTGATACAATCTTAAATATTTCTAACAAAAGTAATGTATTAAATTTAATTAAAATAATTATAGTAAGCCAATATATTTAGACTACTGTAAGCACATACAGCAAGCACGCTCTCATTATGTAGTCTTCTTTGCTGTTTACTTGCATTCAGCTTACGAAATTCTTGTAGAAAAAACGTGACGTGAAGTAAAAACGAGAACTATTTTTACACCGTGAACTAGTAAACTCAACACTCTTCAACTTTAAACAAGTTAACTCAAACTAAAAAGTATATGAACGATAAAACTGTGGTTCAGCTCTGTGTGTGCGCGTGTTCACGTGAGTACAGCGATTACGCATCTCGCGCGCGTCCCCGGTGGCGCAGCGCGTGTATGGAGTCATCCCGCTGCTGTAGGCGGGGGCGAGCCCCTTTGCCCGTCATATTAATGTGCTTTCCCGCTATTCCAGTTCATGAAATAACACTCAAGTGTTTGCTCTTGTTCGCCGCCTGCGCTTTCAAACAGTGGACAGCAACTCAACCCGTTTACTGGCAGCTGCTGAAGCCCTCTATAATGTCTCGTCGAAAGCAAGCGAAACCAAGATCTTTGAAAGGTACGAAAGGTTTTTATTTAATCACTTGTTTCCTTGTGGTTTTGAGTGAAACTCCACAGTAGGCAAATCGACCCTAATACGTTGTAGATAGACTTCAGATCGATGTTGCGGAGTAGACCAGAAGAGGATAATGTAATTGTTCTGCAGAACTTTCATTTCACTTCCACTGTATTCTTATAAAGTCTTTAATTAGTCTTTAATTAGGAGTGTGTTACCATATTAGGCACGTAATACACATGATAGCATACATATCGATGAAGATTAACTTATTAAGGTAGGCTACTCTTGTGGTATTAGGAACAACAAAGTTTTCACAGCTGTTTTAATAATGTGTGAGCGATTTTGCTTTGTTTGGGAGGACTAAATGTCCTAGCTAGGACAGAGAATGTAAATGACTGAGGAATACAGCTTAATAAACATATAATAATGTATAACAATTAAATGTAAATGCATGTTAGATTTAGGAGCAGGGGACAGATAATATGTAACTCTCTCAGTATAAAACAACAGAAGACAAATTCAGAAACATGACATAAAAATGAATAAATGCGAGTTTAAAAATTTTCTAATGTTTTTATGTTTGCTGGGTATAAAGCTTAGTATGTTTCCTGACATGTTGCTGTCACTTTGAATTACAGATGTTACCAGAATAATTGCAGAATAAGTCTGTATAATGAAAAATTAAACTTTTGAAGTTGTTTCTCTGCGCATTTTATTTGCATAGTTTTCCCTGTAGAGGTAATTCTATAGTTCATCGTGCTGTCATTAAAAACAGAAAATGTTATATTTCAAGCATCTGCTTCTTGTCTTCTGTACACCATTTTATTTAAAAAACAAACAAGCACACAAGGGTACTCCATAGCTAGATGAAAAACAGATCAAAATGTCTATATTTGTTTGCACTTTTCAGGATAACCCTGTGCGCGCCAGGTGATCCACTTAAAGTGCTAGCTTTTTTAGCAATGTAAATTAAATTACATTTAGCACCTATGGTCATCATGAGTCAATCTCTTCTATACAGGTCATGAAAACCGGTTAAATGCAAATGACGATGGGATGAATATGGGAAAGAAAGATTGCTCAGAGGAGAGGGGCAAAGAATGGGATGAGGAAAGTAACAGACATGGACAAGGGAAAGAAGAAAGTGCTGAAGAGCCTACAAACCTACCACAATCAGAATCACCGGTCCAAACAAAGTACTGCCATAGTTCAGGTAAACACATTATCCTGAATAAACTGTGAATATATTCACTCTATTTGTCTGTATCCTTTATACAAGAAGATTACAAAGAGAGACCTCCGGGGTTTTATATTGCAGGTTTAGTGTTTCTTGGTGTTTTTGTGACCTTTGAATTTGGTATATTTGCAATTCCCCATTTGCACACAAACATAACGAATCATGCCCTTACAAGTGATTCTGGATTTATGATACTTAAATAGCTAATCGTGTTTTTATGTATTAAATCTTTTAAAGCAGATACAGTAATTTGATTCAGTGTAAGCATGGATTTGGTTCAATGGTTTTTGGTTTGTTTTTATGTCTTGTAAATATTCAGTACTTTAAAGTAGCAGCACTGCATTTGTTCAAACTGTGAATCTGGTCCTCTCACACTGACAGCAATTTTAGTCACAGTGGGATTGCTCATTATGTGGCCACATGCCGAGCTAATTACATCTAAAAAAGTGTGAAAAAGAGCATCCAATTCATATTTTTTGGTGTTTAGTCTGCTCTTATGAGGTTGGCTTATATTTAAAACTGCCAGACATCAGCAAGACGGTCCTTTTGAAACTTTTAATCTGAAGTGTTTGGGAAGATACAAGGTACTATTCATTTACCATTAATTTAAGCATCGTTTTTAAAGTAGGTAACTAAATCACAATTTAACAAGGGGGTGGGCATGATGTATTTTAGATTACATCATATATGATTCCGACAAACCTGTGGCTCTACATATTTGAGAAAGTGTCTTGTTACTGGAGAAGCTTCAATGATTTACAGTCACATTTCTGAACATATACTTCATTTAAAATCTTTGCTAAATTACTGTTAGCTAGTTACTTTCTCTGGTACATTTTCATGAAAGTTGTAAATAGACATTTCTCTTTTCCTCTTGGCTCATAGCAAACCGCAATGTTGAGGAAGATGAAAAATTTTGTTTGGGTTTTCCTGAACATTCCTCCACTGACCATGAAGATGGATGTGGCCTTGGATTCAGGGGAGAAACATGCAGAGACCATCAGAGATTCGGTCTGAGCGGGAAGGTGAACACCCCTTTGCCTGGCAACAGTTCAGTACCTCTTGAAATATCACAAACAGATGCAAGCGACGAAAGCCCAACAAAAAACAAACAGGACTTTAATAATCAGTTTGAGCAGGCTAGTACGTTGTCCTTGCAACATCTCTCTCTTCTAAACGATGTACCAAATTACATGGGGGACCCTGAGAAAAGAAAACCTCCAAATTTTTCAGCACAAGATCAGTCAGACATCTCAATAGTGGAATGCACACGTATCAACTCACAAATACCCAGTCTAGCAACCCTGGCTGCTTCTGGCGAAAAGCACGTGGCTGTTTCTGGAGAAAAGAGAAAGTCTCCATTTGACGGTTGTTTAGGAATCTCTAAAAAGCTCAAGATTATAAGTAATTATGTTCACAACCACGTGGACTCCAGACCATGTCCACAGACTCGACACATGGAGAATAAGATCTGCTCCAGTTCTGAGATTCTTACTTTTCCGTCTGAATTGCACCAGAAAGAGGCTAATGTAATGCTAGGCCATTCTGTGTTGCTTGAAGCTGCAATCACAGCAGCCGTTCAGACAGTTCTTCAGTGTAGCTTCTGTCCCACATCGTTAAAAAACCTTGAAGCTCTTCAAGAGCATGTTCGGCGAACACATAACTCTGCTTTAACTGAAAGCAATGTCTTCTTCTGCTCACAGTGCTTTAGAGGATTCCTTACAAAGGACACGCTAGATAATCACATGCAGCAGACCCACTGCAGAAACCAGAGCCCAAAACTTGATGCTGATCCAGAAGAAATAGCAGAAAGGTCTTTGCAATTCTGTCCATACTGCAGCCACTTGCCTACATTTAGCAGTAAACTAAAACTGATGCAGCATATCAAAATGATGCACAAGAACACTAACTTGATGAACCTCACAGATGGAAGAAGGACAACTGGTTCAACATCACCTCAGTCAATTAAGAGTCCAGCCAAAAAAGCAGGCCACTGTGCCATACCTTCATCCGACTTCATATGTGACCATTGCGGAGCTAAATACACAGATCTGGATCTGTTTCAGACTCACTTGAGCTCTCACCTGAAAAGTTTGCTTCCAAAACTTACATGTCAAGAGGGCTTGAGGGATTTCCCAAACAATGAATCCTTTAAGGAGCACACAGTGTTTCAATTTAGCAACACATCTACGTTCTACATCTGTGAGAGCTGCGGTAAGACCTTCACTAGTGTGAAAGACTTACATGGGCACCTACTTGAGATGCACACTGTTTCATTTTACCGCTGTTCCCTATGCCAGCAGGTGTTCAGCTCTAAGGTGTCTATTCAGGTTCACTTGGCCTCTGAACACAGCAACAAGAGAACGACATTCCACTGTACGTCCTGCGACTGGGACTTCAAGCAAGAGCACGACTTGCACCTGCATGTCAAAGAGAAGCACCTCGACAAACAATGTAAGGCATACTGTTGCATCTTCTGCACGGAGTCCTTCACTACGGATGTTGACTTGCAGTGTCATATCACCACACACAGCGACAAATGCAGTCCCTGCGTCTGTACTAAGACCATATCTCCCCTCGAGGTGCCCTTACACGAGAAACTCTGTGCCAAGAGCCAGAGCGTTGAAGGTAACAACGTGACCCCTCCACCTGTCTCTGAACCAGTTGCCAAGGACGGCGCTGGATTCCTGCCAGCGAATAGTGAAATAAGAGACGGTAAGGTGGAATTGCTGTTCAGCCCTCCCACTGAAACCAAAGGGAAGGCGAGCCTCAGCGATCCTATGTTTGCCTGTGAAATCTGTGGTGCTTCATACACCATGCAGTCCTTGCTCGCCAACCACCAGCTGCGAGATCACCACATCCAGCCTGGGGAGAGTGGCACTCTCAAGCGCAAAGTGGAGGCGATCCAAGGGAGCCACAAATGCAAAGACTGTTCCAAGACCTTCTTCACTGAGATGGCTCTGTGGGAGCACGTCCAGACTCATCTAGGCCCCACCAAGCACTGCCAATGCCCCATCTGTGGAGAGCGCTTCCCCTCACTGCTAACTCTGACTGAACACAAGGTCACCCACAGCAGGAGCTTGGACACAGGCAACTGCCGCATCTGCAAGCTTCCTCTTCACAGTGAGGAGGACTTCCTGGAACACTGTCAGAGGCACCCAGACCTGCACAACTCACTGACAGGCTTCCGCTGTGTCGTATGCATGCAGACTGTCACCTCCACTCTTGAACTGAAAATTCATGGAACTTTCCACATGCAGAAGGTCCAGGGCGAGGATCTGACCAACAGCTGCACGGATCCCTCCAACCTTAATCCCGACCTTAAAATCTCCGCAAGTGTTGCTCAGCAGGAAACAGCGAATGCAAATGTCAGCATATATGAGCATAGACTCCGAAACAATAAGACTAGCATTTCTGTTGTGAACGGTTGTTCGGCTACGGCTCTCATTCCAGAGGAGATTAGCAATAAAAACACTCTCACGCAAACCACAACAGTTTGAAACAAAGCCAACCCTAAATAAAAGACATGATTTGTCACCATATGAAGCATCTGCTTTCAAATGTACATTGTGTTATGTATTTGTGCCAGAACAGTGAAGAGATGTTTGGGAGAGGCTGTTTTCTGCCTTCCAGTAAGAAAGAGGGGTTCGTTAGTTTCAAAACACTCAGCAAATGACTAATTCTCCCAAGCGCAAGGCTAATCTTCACCGGACACGTCTGAATTCAGATTTACAGCCATAGTTGCATCATTTCCTCTCTCTTTGTTACGTTTTAAGATAAATCCTTGCGTTAAGAAACGGAGCTGAATCTTGGTGAGTAATGAGCTTCTGATGACTGAAACTGCAGATGCGCAGAGGGGCAGAAAAGAGGATGAGATGTGGGCAGTGGGACTTGATGTTCAGAGGGAGAGAGTCATTAGCAGTGTTTTATCTAATTGAAATCTGAGCAGGCCTCTTGGTAAACTTTATGGATTAGATGTAGGGCTTTTGGACAATGACATCTGATAATCACAAAACCGCCACAATGTTGTGTATTTTTAAATTGTACTACGTCTTTTTAGTAAAATACCGTCATCTGTGTTGTATAATTTTAACAGTGAATGTCTTGTTAGTTGTTTATCTGTGTATGATGTCCATGTGACAAAAAGAAAGTAAATTGTCTTCTGGGTAATTGTGCATTTATGTGTAAGTGGTGTGTGATTGCTATTTCAGTTCTCTGCGAACGCTACAGTGTGTTTCTGGGCCAATGCAATTTGACAGCAATGTTTTTGATAGTTTTCTGTTAAACATTTTTTAAATCATGAATTAATAATATAGTCATCGATATTAATGAAGTTCAACTGGAAAAGCGTTTCAACGTATCTTAGCTTTTTAAAGGGGTAGTTCACACTGTCAATTTGCCCCCAGGCCAAGCAAGATGTTTTTGACTTCTTCAGTAGAACATTAAAGATTTCTTGCCTAAACTCGGGTCCTTTGTGATTCATAAAATGCAAGTAAAAATAAACAAAGGCAAAACAAAATTAATGTCAGTGGCTCTTAGTGATACTTTGAGGTCTTGTAAAGCAAAACAACTCATTTGAGCAAGAAACTGAACATAACTGACAACAATTTACAACATGTATGCAGGTACTTACACACACATATAAGGAGGTAGCAACCTTTCTTAAAACAAACTTATTGTAAATAAAAAGCAGTCCATATTTGAGTTTGTACTATACATATGCAGGCTGCAGCGCTCAGTGTATGTGAGTAAACCCCATTTTGAGAATGAAAATTTTAACCCATTCTCAGTGAATATGGGTAATAAATATATTGGTGCATTTAAACAAAACAGATATATTAAACAAATATATTTACTAAAATAATATTTTTGTCACCAAACATATTTAGAAATTGGGAAATTATACAATTAAATTCAAACTAAATATCGGAAAAAATACAACCTTCAAAATTTCAATACATTTTTTTTCGTACAATTCATTTTTGCATTCTTGATTTTTCCTCTTTTTAAAATTTGTGTTTAATATTTTTCTATAACATACATTTGGGTGTACTAGTTTTTGGATCGTAATTGTAAGTTATTTGGTTAGATAAGCTCCAGATTTGGCTTCAGTACTGACTAGTCTAATGTATACTCACAATATTGTACAGCTTCCTATTAAAAATGAGAATTTAAAAGATAGATTTGTGAGGGGTGTACTCATATATGCAGAGCGCTGTATTATGCCTCAAGAAGTCTATGCTCCAGACTAAATGCACCATTTCCAGAGGCTGTGGATGAAAGGTAATCATGTAAAATAATACATTTATTTTCAAAGACAGTTAAGACTTTAATGTATCAACAGGAGCCACAAGTACTAATATGGGTTACCCATTATATATCTTTTTTGTTTAGTTTGCCTGTATATGTGACTCAGAGTGCTAGTAGCCTTTGACCAAGGTTTTGTGAATCACCAAGGACCAGTTTCAGATATTCAGAAAAAGAAGTCTTCTTAAATGTTTTACTGTAGAATAAAGTCACCTACAACTCGGATGCCCTGAGGGTGGGTAAATTATCTTCATTTCATGTGAACTCTTTTTAAACTATACCGAAGAGAGGTTGGCAGTGTTTCACTAGATAATGCAAAGTGTATGGTATCAAGGTTAAGCACAACTGAGCTATAAACTCTGAGGGAACAATGACTTCATACATATGGGGATTTATAGGGGGTGAAATGAATAGGCAGGACTATAATTACTCCACACTATGATGTTTCCTTAGAAATTAGCATTTTGAGCATTTGTTGATACATTTATGATTAGTGCTACTTTAAAAATCATGTTATTTAAAAAATCTCAACTGAAAATATGCAGGACTGTAAAAAGTGATGGCTGTGCATATTTTGAGAATGAAAGTTAGGTAACTGAGCCCTGAAGCTGGAAAAAAACGTACCTCATTTGGAAATGCCCCTCAGTCACCAGGACAGCAGCTGGGCTTTGACCGAAGGCACAGGAAGGAAAAGCGACATCATTTTGGGAACGCCTGTTCTGTAAAAAATGCATTTTGACAAACAAAAAAATGATAATGACATTCTAAAGAGGCCTGCACTAGATTTGCAGATGAGTGCAAGACATTGAAGATTCTGTAAATACTTTATACAAATACAAGCTATATTAAAAACTTGAATTTTCCCCTTAAAGGAATTAGTTCCCCCAAAAATAAAAATGTACTCACTTACTGAGTTTCTTTATTCTGTAGATTTCTTTTAAAAGAAACTGAAAACTGGTAAACATCGTCTCCCAAATAATGTCTTTTGTGTTCAACAGAAGAAAAAAAGTCAAACAGGTTTGGAACAAAGGGTGAGTAAATTAGGGCTGGGTGATTTGGCCTAAAATCAAAATCTCGATTAATTGAACATTTTGACTCCATTACGATTGATGAATGATTATTTTATTTATGTATTTATTTTTATTCATTTATTCATTTTCTTTTTGGCTTAGTCCCTTTATTAATCTGGGGTCCCCACAGCAGAATAAACCGCTAACTTATCCAGCACATGTTTTAAGCAGCGGATGCCCTTCCAGCTGCAACCCATCACTGGGAAACATTCACACACACACATATAGACAATAAAGCTAACCCGAGATAGTGCATGTCTGTGGCCTTGTAGGGGAAATGGAAACCGGAGCAAACTCCATACAGAAATGCCAACTGACCCAGCCAAGATTCGAACCAGCAACCTTCTTGCTGTGAGGCGAAGGCGCTGCCCACTGTACCACCGTGTCGCCCCTATTAGTTTTTATATTTAATATGTATATATATATATTTTTTTTTGCTCTCATAGTTTACTGACAAGAGTTAATTTGTAGAGTAAATATTACTTGATTTATGATAATTTATTGAACGTCAGTGCTGAACAACTGAAATTAAAACACACATTGCCTAAAACAGTCACTTTTGTCTTATAAAAAAAGAAACAAAATTGACAATTTTCAGTGTTTTTCATATTAAAAGTAGAAAAAAAGCAGCATCTTTTCTAAATAAAATAACTTTTGTATACCTGGAAATAATATTTTTAACAGTGCATTTCTTTAACTTGCATCTTCTGTAAACAAATAATTTATGTAAATAACAATTTTAATGTAATGGATAATATGCCATCTCAAGAGGCTCTAGTGAAGCTTCCAGTCAGTATCAATGTAGTACAAAGGCTAAAGAATGGGTCCATTGTCCTACTTGACCAGAGATCAGATGTGGCTGCAAAATGGCCACAGAAGAAAAAATCAGCCTTATAAAAGGCTTGAAAAAGCGAGGTCATGTGACCACATACGGTAGGGAAAGTAATTGAAAAAATAGTCCAGGAAAAATTAGATCGATAAAAGGTTGTGAATGTCGATTTCGATTACTTTTCAATTAATCGCCCAGCCCAAGAGTAAATGATAATAATAAAATATTAAGTTTTGTGTGAACTATCCTTTATTCATATACAGATGCTAATTTCTTATTTTTGTGGTAAGCAATAGTAATCATTCTGTAGTTTATATACAAGTTCAGGCTAGAATATGAACTTGGTTTTCCTTTTGTGTGTCCAGGCTTTAGGCCAAGGTAAAGTCGGCTGTGAAAACATGATGCCGGGTAATGCCCGGACCATCTGTCAATAAGCATCTCTCGAGTGGCTCGACTGCAGAGGAGAAATGACAAAAAAGACAGCGCAGTGACAGCAAGTTTGATCTAAAATTATTTAAAGGTTTTTTTTTTATATTTATGTTGTATTGCTATATTGCTAAAAACCATAGCCTACAAAAAAGGATTTGACATTCAATTTAAATAAAAACTGTGCTAAAGTATAGAGTCTACAGTGCAAATATACTACAGCTGACAAGTGTGACAAGTGTACAATGTAATTTAAACAAAATTGAATAAAAAAGGGAATAATAGACCTGCAGCGGAACAATTAGGGCTTCTGAAAAACAGAGCTGACTAAGTTCCCAACTTGTAGGACTGTGCCATGTCAACATCCTCCCGGGATGGAAACCAGGGTGAAAGGTTCCTCAACTGACATCCCATAATCTCCTTTTCCCCCACATTACATTGTTTCTGCACACATTAGTCCACAAAGTCACCAATCATTCCTTTGTGCTCTCCTTTTTCTTCACGTCTCACATATCTATCATCTGAGCACTTCTGCAAGTGACATTATCCAGTGCTGCACTTAAAACCAGTATAAACAGTAAACAGGAAAGGAGCCAGTCTGCTTTGGGAATTGGGTCCAGTATAACTTCCCATTTGTTCTTGTACAGTTCAGTGGTCAAGCAGGTGAGAAAATATAGAAGTTTTTTTGTTTTCTGTTGATTAATGCCATTGTACCACTCAAGCTGGAATGATTAAATTCTGTTTTGCAGCAAGTGATAAATTACAGTGGAGAGACATTAAACGCATGAGTGAAGGGTGAAAGTGAGACAACACTCCCCTCTATTGACTGGGTGTGTGACACTACAGCACCCGTCTTTCATGCTTAAATTATCCCTGCTAAACACAAAGTTCTAAAGGTTAAGACAAATAAACGTCGCAATGAACAACACCACAAACCATAAAAGTATAAGCATTAAAACCATAGTGTTTTGGGAAATATTAGCGTAACATGCAGCAAACGTACCATATTCAGTCAACTTTTCATTTTAACCTTTACAAATTGAATGATGTTTTCTAGTTATTTCTCTGTAAAATAAGTTTCTGCTTATTTTAAAGAGGTGATGTCAACCACTGTAACAGCCGTAAAAGCTACATTTACATTATGCTAATCAGATCATTTTAAAACTGTACTCTGTTGTATGTGTTGTACACAACTGCCACACAACAAAATATGATGATAATGAAATACAATTTGCATTAAAACAATTTACAAATACTGAGAGATATAAAACTCAATTATTAAACAAAAATAATAAAACCTTTTATAAGGTTCAGATTAAGACCAGTAGGTGGAGCTACGAGGGCACATGTTAGCAAACGTAAAATGTCTTTTAATATAACGTACACAAAGCTTAGTAGTACGCCTCTAGTGTTTGTCGTAGTTTCTGTGTAAATACGGTGAAATAAGTATGTCAGCTCAGGCTGACATTAAGGTGGTAAAATAAATCCCAGACTTACTTGTTTCTGGATATTTATTCTAAAATATACATGGCATGCCTCTTGG